GGAGCACTGCTTGGAAAGTTGGACGCAGAATAGAAGTGTGGTCCTTCATTCATAATAACAGTAAAAAGGGGGAAATGAAAAAGCCTGGTATAAATGTATAAGAAAAGAGGTCTTGATTTTTATCCTTTCAAAACACCAATAAAAAAGTGCAAAATAAAAATTAGCTGCTATGACATGAATGTAGAAGGAAAGACACATTGGTTTTTATAGTTGACTCCCATTTTTTCACATGTGCCTTCATTATTGCGGCCTCCTTTTCATCATAGACTAGGTGCCCCTTTGTCTTGAACTAAGTCCCAGTCACTGCTCCTCCTTCCGTTTGAGATGTGCACAAACAGCGTGGCTCTCATCCTAAAGTCAGAGAAGGGTAGGAGAAGCAGGGAAACCTTTGTTGATGTGCCATCAGTGTTTGAGCAGTGTTTGAGCTAGGCATTTTCTATAATTGAAAATGTAAATTTATTGCTGCCACTCCTGCTGCAAAATTAAAAAATAAAACTATATATCTTTGTATTAACATTCCAGAGCTATGAAAAGATGGTTTTTTGAGTCATCTGTATTATTGCTTCTTTCCATTAGCTGAGATAATTTAGAGCTGATGGTACTTGCAGTCAGCAGCAGCAGGACAGTAGGTTGTGAGCATGAATAACACTTGGAAAGAAAATGCTTTTACTAGGAGCATCTGAAAATGTCTCCAACTATAGATTTTATAAATTGAATCACAGATCTACAGAATGTTGGCACTGAAAATATCTGGAGGGAGCAGGTCAAACTCCTCTTTTTATAAATGGAAAATAACGAGGTTCAGCTACCAATAGAAAATGACATTTGTTGTTTACAATGTAGTAAGCTTCTAATAATCCCCATTATGAATAGTTCTCATTGTTTACAACTGAAGATGTGGGTAAAAGCATATGTTGGTGAAAGAATGTACATTCAGAGATGAAAGCTGAAACTTAGACAATATTAGATGTTCATAATGTTTTTGAGTCCTGAAAAACAAAAACTTATCATATTGGCAGCATACAAAAAATACAGAAGAAAAGTATTTTGGTCATTTAAACTGCCAATTTTAAATTTAAAACTGCCAACAAATAAGTTTAAATTTTCATTGGAACATGCTTGTTGAAAAATTGAAGATGAAGACTCATTTCACTTTATCGTTCTTCCGTATTTAAAAAATTGTTTAATTTTTTTTTAGTTATTTAATTGAAACGTTTTACTTTAATTGCGAATGCATGCTCCATTGTTTAGAGCGGCCAGCGTTGTGGTAGTGAGACCTTGGGAATGAAGTTGCCTAAATACATATTTGAACAGAGTAGCTTGCTTCCTGGTGATCTTGGACAACTTAACTTCTCTGTGCCACAGTTTCCTATAAAATAAGAATAAGAGAGTTGCTTCCTCATGACTGTGGTAAGGACAGGTCGAATTAATGTACAGAATCAACTTGGAAGACTTCCAGGCACAAAGGAAGGGTCATGTACTTAGTTACAGCTATTATTATACTATTTCTGCTTTTATAATCCAGGTAAATCTTGAGTCTTACTGATTTCATCTCTAAAAAAATCTAAATATAACCTCTAAAAGGGAAACTCTAAAACTTCATAGTTGTAGCTAATTAACACATAAAGTTCAAACAAGTAGCACGCAGCGGAGACCAGTTAGCTGCAGACACCTGTGAAACTTCCTGTCCTGCACGGACTCTAAGCTGTCACTACCGTCACTTCTGAAATCAAAGGCAAGCTAAGGAATAGAGCTTTAAACCTTGGCCTTGTCTGGTACCCAGACCCCTATGCTCAGATCATGGCAGGGAAACAGTTTATTGTTCACATGTGCATTTTCAAAAAATAGTATTAAAATGAACACTGTATGTATTTTGTTGTGTGTTTTACATCGATAACAGAAAAGAAAAGAAAAAAAACAGGAAAAAAACCCCATGCAGTTACAAATAAGGAGGCTATGTCTGAAAATTGTTATTTTTTTAAATTATGTTTAGGATTTTGTGACCAGTTAGGAGAAAAATCATTTCATTGGTGCAATCCCTTGATTGACTAAACTTGTTTTTAATTAGGAAGAAGAGCGTGTTCCCTTTACCACCTGGGGAAAGTGTGTACCTATAACTCTTTGTGCAAGTGCTCTTTTTCTGGGTAAGAACCTGCCACAGACTTTTTGAAATCTAATGTGAAATGCTGAGAAAACTGAATATCAAGATGGGAACTATGTAGTCTCGAGGAGAAAACATTTTCTAGAGAACATCTGAGCCAAAGCAGGGCGCCACTCTGAAGGTTCCACAGTCTCTTCTGCTCACAGTGCTTCCCCCAATTCTTTTCACCTCATTTGTTCAAATCAGATCAGTGGTTTAGGATTCTCCAGGGTCTGATTAAGAGACCAGATGGAGGTATTAAAAATTCTAAAATTTTCCAAGAATAACAACCAAGGTAAAATGTCTAAGAATAGCCTAACAAAAGGATAGTAGGAACTATCAAAAAAATAAAAAAATAAAAACTACTGAAAGATATAAAAGATGCTTTAATCACATGATTTTAGATTAAAAGATCATATCTCCAAAATATCAGAAGTTATAAAATTGATTTGGGATTTATTGTGAATAAAATCATATTAGTAATATAATAATTAATAAGATAGTTCAAGAATAGCCAGATTAGAAAATAGGACAGGAAGTCCAGATATGTGCCGATATCAATAATAATTTAATATAAGAGATGGAAGGCATGACAAATCAGGGAGATAAATAAAGGATATTCAGTAAATGGAACACTTGTTAGATACTTTGGGGGAAAAGAAAAGATTGAAATCATACAGTGAACCATAAATTGTGATAAATTCCAGAAACATTTTAAAAAGTAACACAATTAGAAAAAAACTAGATATGTCCATGGATGACTGAAAAATTGTGCTGAACACTGGAATTTGACACAACGTTGTAAAATGATTATAAATCAATAAAAAATGTTAAAAATAGAAAAAACTGGAAATAAATATGGATGAATATACAACCTCTAGATGAACAGTAAGTTTCAGAGGAAAATATATAAAGCTTTCCATGCATCAGAAGCATCCTAATTTTAAACAAAACACCAGAGGATGTTATTTGTTTACAAATCTGACAACGGGCTAATTCCTTCAATACATAGAGAGTTCAGATCACTTCCAAGGTAACATCAAAAAATCTCAGGAGCGTAGAAGGCAGAGAATATGAACACACATTCACAAAGGAAAAAATAGATGTTACACTCCAATGGTAATTCAGTCAGTGCACATCAAAATGAAATAGTTTTCCACCTCTCGAGTGACACAGTTCTGTTTATGAGGATGAAGTGCCAGTGATCACCAAACCCATGCCTAGGTTACTGGATATTTTTTGTGAAGTATGGTTGATTTACAATGCTGTGTTAATTTCCGGTGTACTCCTCAAGCCTTCTTAGAAAGCAGTCTGGCAGTTCATATCAAGAGTCAAAAATATTCATATGCTTTAATCCACTCATTCAGCTTTGAAAAACTTTTAATCAGGGAGTATTTCAAAATGTCAGGGAAAATTCAGTATGGATGCAAGTCACAGACATACTTTTCTATGTATATATATATAAAATCTCAGCCAAAAGAGTCTTCCAACCCTTCACATAGTAGAATATTATGCAGCCATGAAAAAGTATGTCCATGAGAATATTTTATGACATGTCAAAGTGTTGTGCTTATGATAGGCTTGAGAATAAAATTAATATATAAAATGATTTGTAATATACAAACGATGCACAGTTCTGAAGGAATTATGTCTATAGGTAGAAGCATTTTTCTTATTTTATTGTTTATTCATTTTCAGAGTTGGAGTCTTTTGATTGTAGGTGACAAAATCAATCTCCAATGTGTTTAAACAACAACCAAAAAATGGGGATGCATGGGATTTATTGGTTCCTGTAAATGAAAACCTCAGGTCTGAGGTCTGGCTTCAGTCAAGGAGAGATACTGTAGCCCAGATGATGTCAAGGGCTGGTTTTGTCTTGTCTTCATTCTGTGTCCAAAGATGTCTCAGCATGCTGCTTCTAGGCACTCAGCATCCCAGATCACACATCCATCCAAACCAAGAGAGGTCTCTTTTGCCAGCTTCCTCTCTTGATAGAGGAAGCTCATCATTCACATGGGCACCAGTACGTATCTCCTCACATTATAGTGGCTCTTCCTGTGTTATTTGCCAATTCACAAATCATGTGCAAGGCCAATAGAATGAGGGGTATTATTTGTCTTAAACCAACTGAGATCTACCTCTGGTGCTTCAGAAAGAGTGGGTCAATCGAGCTTAAATAACAGGACTAAAAACAGAAGGGAGGTTATTTATCCTAAAGCAAATTCTGGGTCCTCTCCTAAGACTGGGGACAGATCCAGGACAGCAGTTCTGTCCACTACTGAGTACTTTCAAATTTTCTTTAATGAGCCAATATTAAAGTTATGATCAGAAAAGATGATAAGTAAGAAGAAACTTGAGGAAGGAGAATGGAAAGCTTTCCTGTTTTGTAAGAAATATTGAACCCATTAAGTGCTTGGAAGAATAATGGAAATGTATCAAGTTTGTAAAAGTTCTGAAATGAACTAGAATTGATTTCACAGACCATGTAGGAGACAGTGCTATACAGTTAGTGTGTCTTTGGGCTCTTTGAGAATTTCAGTTCTTTCACTCAATAGTTGCTTCATTTGGGGCAAATTGCATCATCTCCACATGGCTCTATGTCCCCATCTGTAAAAGAGATATAATATTACATTCCCCACAGAGTGATTGTGAGGATTTAGAAAAATAGATGTGTGCTGAAGCAATAGTAAGCATTTAAGGAATCTTAACTATTATGATTACTTAATACATAATTAAAAATTATTATGCAGACTTTTTAAAAATGCATACTATTTAAATGGCCTATATGTGCTGTATAAGAGAGGAAGGCTTAATATACTTTCTATAATACATTTTTCTCAGCCTTAACTAATTTTCACATTTAATCACACACACACCAAAAAGTTATTCCTTCCACAAGAATGAAGCCTTAACTGTGAAGAAAAGGATGATGAAAGAGAGTAGAGGAGGAAATAAAATGCTTTCTCTACAAACTGATGGCTTAAAAACTAAGAAAAACACCTTTTTAAGACTTTGGTCACCATATTCATAGCTAATACTCAGGTAGAGATTTTCACATGCCTGTGGTTAATGTTCTAATTGTTTTCACAATTAGTAAATCATTGACTCATCACAATAGTCCTATAAATTGCTATTATTATCCCCCCATTATATGGGTGAGGAGATTGAAGCCCCTAGAGGTTAAGAAATTTGCACAAGGCCCCACGGCTAGTATCAGAGCTGGGACCCCAGATCAGGAGTTTGGCTCCAGGAGAGGCTTGTAAACACTCCCTCTGCTCTCCCCTGCGGTGCAAGCCAGCTTCCTGCTATTTACTGTAAGTAACATGATGTGGTTCACTTAGTCTTGAAATTCACATTCTTTGTAGCTTTCTCTCTGGGGCAGCCATCAAGAGCAGCCAGGGACACTGAGTACATGCTTCTGGACTATGACCAAGAAGGTAGATGGAAGGAAAACAGTTTAAAAATGGGATCTTTAATGCGCATTCTTCAGTGGCCAGAAAAAAACCTGCCTAGTGAGGAACTGAAACCCTATTAGCCACGTGCAAATTATGCTTCAGACACCCCCGCTGCCCTTGGGTCCACACAGTCAGAACTACAGTGGATCAGGGACATGAATCTTGTGCAAATGCAGGGAGTAGGAATACCTGCCATTTTAAGATCTCAAGGAGTATGAAAAGCATGTGAAGCTTTCATCAGCAGAGACATGCTGTCACTTCTATTGTTTCCCTCAGGGCATGTCCACAGCTTCACTGGTTCTATTCAGAATGAAGATGACAGCTAGCACCTGCTGAACCCTGAATCAGTGATAGGTTCCCCCTTGAAAGGAAGCATATCCCCTTCATGGGTTACAACTAGTTCATAACATAAGTAATTCTACAGATGTAGAAGGGATACTTTCATTTGTTCTGCTATCACAGACTTCCCTCCAAAAGAACATGCCACCAGTTGCCCCATTTTGACCCATTAAAATATACTTAATAGGCTTTCTTCTTTAGTGCAGTTTTAGGTTTACAGAAAAATTCACAGAAAGAGGAGTTCCCATATATTCCCTATGCCCTGCACACAGCTGCTCCTGCTGCCAGCGTGTTACATTAGTGGATGCACTCATTCTTTTTGACATCTTTCATTCCTCCTCCCCTAAAATTTAACATGCCTGATATTCACGTCTCTTGTGGCATTTACGTGCGATTTACATCACTTCTCACGTTTATGTGAGGTTTACAGCACATGCATGTTGTCTGTTTAAGCGTGGGTCGGGGGCAAGTTTTCTGTGTAAAAATACGATCATTAGTGAGTCTCATGCTGCTGGGTTTTTGGGTTGTCAGGTCCTGTTGACCATTGCTTGAGTTATTGGGATCATTGTCTATGGACTTTCAGTGTTCATTGTATTTTCTGCAAAACTTCCCAAGAACCTGAATGGAAGAGACCCAATCCAGAAGTACCTGACTGTGCAGGTGGGCCCCGCCCATCACTGCTTCCCTCATCAGTTTTATCATCATCGTGACCCTCAACGCCATACATGAGAAAGCGGCAATCATGAT